AGCCCCCCAGAGTTTGGAATAAATAGCAAGATTTTTGGAGTCCTAGCTAAATGCTGATGTTCTGCCATTATCACCTGTACCCACATGTCTATGATTTACTGCATTGGGCATGTGATAAACTATTGCTATATAATTATCCTATGAGTATATGATACAGTACAGTAGAACCCCCAAATATTTCACACCTGACGAGAAGGTGAGGTTTTGTAAAATAACCAGGGATTTACAGCGCTGCAGCCAATAGCTGCATAGGACTGCTGGAGTGCTTCTGTTCTTCTAAAGGTTTCTGCTTCTCCAGTCAGTGACGTGGGACTACTGATGAGTTCCAGGTGAGGCGAGAAGTGGTGCTATTGAAAGTAAAAAACCACTGCAAATGGCCTAGCAGCTCATCCTGAATTCTGCAGTTAGCTGCAAATTAATATAGTTGAGAATGAACCAGATATGAATGATCTGGATTCTACTGTACATTGGGTGCATCTACACATGATGCTACATCACCGTAGCCACATGCTATGGCAACATAGCATCTGCAAGTGTCTACATGTGACTAGCAGCTACTTCACCGTAGCAACACATTCCCCCAGTACACCGTACCTCTACAGCGAAGTAGCTGCTAAAAATAACACGATGCAGTATGGGCTGTTACCTTGCTGTGATTTAGTACTTGCAAAAGTAGCTCCTTCCCTCCATGGTGACGGAAGGGAAGTTCCTACTTTTGGAAGTACTAACGAAGTACTGAAGAAAAGACTAAATCACAGCACAGTAACAATAATACCATAGCGACACGTGTAGAAGTGCCCATTGGGCCATATACGGCTTTTGCTAAGCTCATATAATATATACACAGTCCCATATTATTCTTCAGAAACTTGCAAACATCTAAGCTATGCAATAAAGTATTTCTAAAATGTAATATGTTATTATATGAACACTATAATTCTGTACAGAAAGCATGTGGCATATGTCAATATAGCCCACTGCTGATGCATTATAGATATGACCTACCATATTTCACGGTGTATAAGTTGAATTTTGAAGCCAGATTTTTAACTCTTAAAATTCAGCCTTGGCTTATACACTGTCCCCTATGAGCAACGGTGCCTGGACACCTCCCCCCCCAGGAGCTCCCTGGGAACTTGAGCAGCACATGGCCCATTGGCAGCCCACCCAGCCAGCCCCAGGGGGTGCAACCACTAGGGAGGGAAGGATTGTCCCCCCCCCACATCTCAGGAGCTACCTGGCCCACCAGCAGCTCACCCCCTGCCCCAGGGGCAGGCAGGGAAGTTCTGCAACAGGAATGATCAGGCCCCTCACTGCTGCCTTCAGCAAGCTCCTGCAACCACCAGGACATCTGTGCTGCCCAGGAAGGGGCTGGCTTGCCCCATGCGCAGTGTGAAGTGTCAGGCAGGGGCTGGGGAGGGAGGCTAGGGGTGTCAGGCAGGGATGGCCTCCCCCCTTGCCCTTCCTGACATCCTGTGCTGTCTGTGGGGCAAGCCAGCCCCTTCCCAGGCAGTGCCAGGTGTCCTGTTGGTCACAGGAGCCAGCAGAAGTGGGGCGGGGTTGGGGGGTGCTGATCCTGCTTTTGGCAGAGCCTCCCTACCTGCCCTGCAGCTAGGGGGACAAGTTGCTGACAGGCTGGGCAGCCCCTGATCTGTGGGGAGGGAGGCGCCCAGTTTTTCCCTCCGCTGCAGCAGCGCCTCATAGCCAGCCAGGTGGGCTGCCAGCAGGCCATGTACCGCCCAAGCTCCCAGGGGCCTGATCCCACTTCCTGGGACCCCACCAGCCTGCCACCTCTCCCATGAGCCCGCCGGGGCTTCTAACACATCACACACTGAAGTGGGGTCAACTTATACAATAGATATCCAAAAATCCTAACTTTTATGTACAGAAATATGGGGTCAACTTTTACACTGTGTTGACCTATACGCCATAAAATATAGTACTTACATTTGGTAATGTTTTATGAAATGAGATGGTTTTAGGAAAGAGGAAATACCAGTTATTAGTAACACTGAAAGGCTTTACATAATGCTTTCCAGCTGGTTTTAGAATGATTAGTATTTCAAGTATTGCGAGTGAAGACTTCAACTAATACTGCAATCCTCTTAAAAACACATAAGAATCCTACCTCTGAGAAGTGACACGGACACTGTCATAGATTAGGTGAATTAACAGATCCATAAATAATTCTGCCCATTACACAGAGTTCCCTAAAAACATGAACGAAGGCTAGACATTAAAAGCAGCATTTAGCATACATGTAGGGATACAGGTCTAGCTGTAATAACATGCAAGTTTAATCACAGTTATAAATCCACAAACCTATACTCTTCCCTGTCTTTGTATTGTTTGGTTTTACAGCTTGCAATTGCTATCATTTCACACTATCTAAAATGCTGAAGAAACCTGATGCTTAAGCTCCAGGATCCGCTGCCGTATTGTTTGCATGAATACATACTACCCAACAAGCACATGGCATGCCCGTTTCCCTTGCTGATTTTAACTTGTGAATGATGTAACTTTTGTCTCTGTACTACTATTTTAATTTGAATGACCGAACTATATCTTTTCTCTGAAAGACAATACAGCCTTAGGATAAAGACTGTATGAGACTCAAACTGACTACGATGGCAAATGATTAATACTGTGTGTGTTTTGGTACAAAAAATATTTAAAATGTCTATGCTAATTACCTTGTAATTTTCTTGTCTTTTCCTCATGTCCCTAATATCTGTTACTGTTTGATAAGGGAACGGTGAGACAAATATTTCATTTCTGTATCCACAAAAATGTTTTTATATACCAAAATGATAGACAACTTTGAAAACAAAAAAGACAGGCAGCTACAGGACCACAAATAGAAAGATGAGCTTAATACTACATCAACATGTTGCATATTTTGAGCAAGTGGGATATATTTGTATGAGACTAACTGTCTACAGGCATCTCCTCACCAGCCCCATATGTCTCCAGGTATATCACTGTACATTGTTTGCTTGTTTGTACAGGTAGGAAGCCCCTCATGGGTCCCTTCATAAAGAAAATTAATAAATAAATAACCCGTTCTAACATTTTTGACCAATTACAGAAATACTAGAAAAAAGTGCCTGTTGTTCCTATCTTGAAGGTTTAAGCGGTTCAGAGATCTTGTGCTGGCTCTTGGTAAAGGAAGACATTTCTCCTTAAATGTAGATGTCTTCGTTCCCCAGCTTCCTGCTTTATGAATAGACAACTGAGATAGGTGAAGAGCTAATTCAAACCCCTTCTCCATAAAACGCACTGCAGTCCAAAAAAAGTGCAGTCTTAGAAAACATTACATTGATTTTTTTTTTAAACTCAGCTATAACTTGGAGAAAAAACATCTGGGCTAAAATATTCAAACCTAACTGCCTAGAACTAAGCTTTTGAATCCATATGTAAATCCCCAGAACATAATCCAACAAAATGCTGAACACTTCAGGCACTAATCCAGCAGCAGGATCCCTCACATGCATAAGTATTTGGTTTGGTCAGTGCCAAGAGGGTTTAGCCCTGAAATAGAAGCTGCTTACCCCCCTGTTGGCTGTCAAATTCAAGATCTTTAGTCACCATTGGCAACTAAAATTGTCAGCAGATGCAGAAAGGGGGTGAATGGCAATGGCATTCACCTTCTGGATTCTGGAGCATCCAAGGCAGCTGTGCTGACGAGCCACTACCTCACCACCAGAGGTCAGTTGTCTGGCCCAGAAAGTCAAATAAGTTGCACACCCCTGAATTAAAATATGCAAGCCCACACTTTTTCTACTCTTTTTTTAATTCTGTTAGACTCCTCTGATTTCAAACCATTAATCTTGCAAGGTAAAATCCCGGTGGTGATGGTGCACACCCTTCTCTTTGAGCAAATCAGACATCATTTCTTTGTTTCCCTAATTACATTCTATATATCTATATCTATATTTTCAATGCCTCTGGCATTTCCAGTTATGCATTTCCAAATATATTTAACATTTCAAATTGGTTTATATTCAGCAACAGACTAATTGCATTCCCTGAGCCAACACATGCAATTCACCAGTAGTCTGTATTGGAAAGATAATAGGGAATAGTTTCTTAAGGAAAAAAATGGAAAAGACCCACCATCCCTGGAAGTACAGGGACATGAACCATTGGGCTTTCTCATGTACAACATGGCTGAACTTGGAGCAGTTCCAACATCCATAGTAAGCTATAAAAAATAAAAGGTTTCCAGGTAGATTTAGACTCTGCAGGTGTTCCTGAGATTAATTCACTTGTACACTGTACCTGAAGCCCAGCTAGCTGCACCTTCTCTTGAAAAATTAAGGGCTGTCAGATATGAAATATTTCTAAGGGTGAAAGTCACCCTTGTAAAGAAACCTAGATCTAAATATTTAGAGTAAGAGTTTATGGGGTGAAGATGTTTCTAGAACTAGAATTTTAAAAAATCAATCAAACCTGTCTTAAAATTATTTAGAAATTAAATAAGATGTTACTGAAAACCTTGGGAGCTTTATTTAAAGTGGTAATGTAGGTTTTTTGTAGGAATGCTTTGGTTGAGACATTGTATTTTCAAAGGGATCACATTTCCAAAGAGGGTAAAAAGCCATCTTCTAAAATGGCACAGTTTGGTACAGTCAGTCATTGGCATGTATAAAATCTGTAGCATGCACATAAAAATGGCACTTGTATATTCCCCTCGAAACTGCTCCCACCAGTTTACACACACATTCATTTGCCTGCATAGCATCTATCATCTGAACATGCAAATAGCATTTGTATGTGCAAACTGGAGAGGAAGACATCTCCAGCACCTGATTTATATGTGCTGGTGCCATTTGTACATAGTGCATATATGCAGATCTTTGCTTGTATTTAAACAGAGGGTGTGTATTTGGACAGGTTTCATCACCTTTGGAGATGTGCTCCCGTACCTGTTTTATTTACATTTGCATGAAAAGCTGGCTGCTTATTTTAAGCACTTTTTCTCTTCTTTTAATTTTCAGTCCTAATGCTCTTCCGGAAGAGCAGCCACATTCCAGCTCTCAGTGTGCCCCTCTCAACTGTCTCTCTAAGCCTCCTCCTTATCCCTAATCTTCATATGCAACGTAAGAATAAAAAAACCAAACAGAATGGAATTCATGCAACAATGATACAGGTTGCTCCCAAACGGGTCTGGCAGACAATCCTGCCTTGTTGCTGCATTGACAAGTCTGGATTCATATCCGCAGTTTTGGCAACTGAGGGAAGGTTGAGAAGAAGAACACAAAGCACAGAGCCCAGCCTGTCAAGAAGACTTTTTATGGTTCCTCTGATTGTATTCAAACTTTGCTATTTGACTGAAGTTTAGCAAAATGTAACATCTTGAGAAAATGTTCCTCCCAGCTGCTTGGCTTTACCCTCTGGAATCCTGAGAGACATAAGCCAATATTAAAAAAAAAATTAATGTTACAAAATCCTATCTATACATCCCCCAAGTTCAGCCATAGGAACCAGTTTAGATTTTCTTTTCTGTTCTTAAGAGTATGTTATTTATTTTTCACTTTATTTGCACCATAATTCTGTGTTTATAAAATGCAGTCCTTTTTGTGAGAGTTGTATTTAATTCCTTTTATTTTTTTTTTAAATGAGCAGTAATAGCTTAACTTAAGAATGGCTGAGTTAATATTATGAACAATTGAGGTTTCTGATCTTGACCAGAGAGTCTGGCCTTTTTTATTGCACAAAAATGTTGATGATGGGGTGAATTGGAATGTTAACAAGAACTTTGTATTTTGCTGCTGCACTGATATAGTTTATGTACTTGTCTTCTAATTTCTATCACAATTGCTGCTGGTTTTGTTCTCGTTCTTCCCTGGAAGCTAATTATTAAACCTAAGGAGGCATTTATTTTTATTCACCTGCACGCTTGCATCGTAAGTATATTTTTGCATTTCAAGCAAGTAGATGAATTGGTGCTGTTTTTCTTTTTGGGTGGGGGGGTTCTATTCGGTACTTGAGAAAGATAAGGTGAAAGAACTTGAAGTAAAATGTTGTGTGCTAATTAAAATGCCCAAGTTGTTTTCTTCCTTCCAGCTCCCAAATTCAGGATGCTAGCTTGAGGCCTTACTTGTAAAGGAATAGCGCGAATGGTGGGGTTATAAAGATTTAGCGTGGACTATTCTGTGGCGAAATATCTCCTGCAGGTAGGGTTGATGGCTTGGATCAAAGGTGGTAGGATTTTGCTGTAGTGTATTTTTTTCCTTGCCAAAAATCAACAGACACAGAACCTTAGCTCATTGTCAGTTCTGACAAATACTCAGGTGATCTACAGTACACACAGATTCTATTGCAACAGTGCACAGTGTTCCTAGTTAAGGATTCTTTCCTGTAGAAGATGAATCAAGCTGGTTTTCCGAGTAGTGGATTTGCGTAGCTAAGTGAAAGATAGCTGAATTTATTTTGCACAGAACCTGACAGCAAGACAAGTAGCTAAGTAAAATGTTGCCTTTTAGCATCTTTGGGCTTCCCATTTGGTTTCCAAATGAAAAAAAATATAAGTCCAGCCCACTCATTGCTAATTAGCATACTACTTGCTCTTGGTCAGGTGGCCTTAATTTATTTAAAGGAGAAAGGCTCTGACATTTCCATGTCTCCTTGTCTGTTCCTTCTCTGCAGTATAAATATAGTCTACAGGACAAAAACGTGATATAGCTTATGTTATGCAGCTGTTGAGAAAAAAATTGCTGCTGATAGAGTTGGAAAAATTCAGCATATTCTGCCTGAGTGTGAGACAAACGAGCAGTCTTCTCGTATTAATGACGCTTACCAAATGTTATAATATACAGTACATAGCAGAGGAAAGAATCAATGACCAATCAGTGTGCCTAACAATCATCATTACCATAGTACCAGTAATGAAGGTGCTGTAAATAGAAGTATTCTATGTAATCAACAATGTACATTATGTAACCTTGGCAGAACATTTGAGCTGTTGTATCAAAATGTTCAGAGTCAGAGGTGGAGAAAAATAGAAATAAATTGGTGTAAAATTCTGATCATACCAACCTGACAACTCTTTGCAGTGTTTTTATATAAGTTTCTATGCTGTTCATATGATCTTCCTTATGTATCACTCACATAACTATTTAGTCCCCTACTTAACCTACATGTTGTCTTGTTTCAAGAAAACCAGATAAGACTTATTTAACATTTTACTGTTTTGGCACTGGAGATTACATGCTATGTAGATTTTTATTAAAGAACTGTTTTGCTTAGGGCAAGTGTTGCCTTTAAGCACCTCAGAATAACTGACCTTGTTAAGTGGTACATTGCTATTCCACAATGATACTGTCTATGTTCAGCAAAGACAGCTGCTGTATATCAGTTCAGCGAGAAAAGGATTAGCATTGCTACACTGAATACAGTTGCTGCAAGCTTTACTTTGAATATTATCTCCTTTTTTCGTGTCCAAACTAAATATCCAAATTAAACATCTGTTGAAACTTACCAAGAGTATTTCTTCTTCCCTAATTTAAAAATGAATTTAAAAAACCTCCCAGGAAGCACATTATTTATTTCAATGTAGATATGAATCTGTGGGGGGAAATGCCTATTTTGAAGTATTCATCCAAGAGTGTGTTCATTTTTTAATTGTGAATTGCAAAGTAACTTTGGGAACTCTGAAATACAGCACTGGTATGCTTGTTTGGACCATGAGTAATAGAACAGCTTTCAATGAATTAGAGGTTATGGTCATCTTTTATAGAAATAAGTGAGTTTTTTAAATTTTGATTCTATTGTTAAGCTTGACATTAATTTTTAATTTCTAATTTCTTGATTTCTAATTTTTATATACAATAAAGCAGAAGTACATGAAAATTTAAGAGAACTAGGAAAAAACCAACTTAAATGTAAAAATGACTGTAGTTACCATTGCATTGTAAGTAATAAAGCTTTGTGGGCCTCAGAGAAGTCTTGCAGCTTTTGTCAGTTAACCAGTTAAAAAAGAAAATTCAGATAACAGAAAGCCTTCTGGGTGAGACGGTAATCAGCAACATGCAGTTTTGTAAGATGTCTTATAGGAGGCATTTCTGTACACAAGCAAAAACACAGGTGTCTGTGGATGTTGGCAAAATATTGTCTGTTGCCATTTATAGACATATTCCTTC